AAGTGTAGGAGTAATTCTTAAGTGTCAGTCTTACTTTAAGTGAAGTGTAGGAGTAATTCTTAAGTGTCTGAATTAGTCAAAATTAGGATTCAGGCCAAATATTTATGTATTATCGTAACCAACAAGACAAATTAAGTCATATATATGGATTTAATTATGATATCGGGATGATCCAGGTATCAAAATGTAGCTTTTAAAGCCAATAATCTGAAAGTGTAATTAGGTCATTTTGACCAAATTGATTAGTCCTCATTTCGATTTGATGGGTCACAAATGAGTAACAGTAGAAATGATTGTGCAGGCAGCAGGTGTGCAAACACTTAGTGATTTTTGGGCGTGGTGCTGCTTATAGAGTCTGACAGCTGCAGGGAGGAAGGATCTGCAATAAGGGAAATGTTAAAAATGTAAATGTTTTGGTAATAAATGTCTTTTTATTTATTATTTTTTTTAGGTGAGAAGCCCCACAAGTGTAGCCTGTGTGATTTCAGGTGCCGAGACGAGTCCTACCTGTCTAAACACATGCTCACTCACGTAGAAGAGAAGAACTTTATGTGTGCTGAATGTGGATATGTCACMAGGTGGAAGCATTACCTCACYGTTCATATGAGGAAACATGCAGGAGACCTCAGGTATGAARCATCTCCTCCCCAGCGATGATGCAGCTTCATCGTGTGGTTAATGGCTGAACTGTTCCCTCCTCTCCCAGGTATTCCTGTGATCAGTGCTCCTACCGCTGCCACCGTATGGACCAGCTGAAGAGCCACAAGCTGCGGCACCAAGCCAAGTCCCTCATGTGTGAGGTCTGCGCGTACGCCTGCAAGCGCAAATCCGAGCTGCGCAAGCACATGCTGACCAAACACGGCGAGGAGGAGGAGGAGGAGAGGCCGGCTGCGTTTCAGTGCAGCTACTGCGCGTACACCACCAGCTACAGACAAGCCCTGCAGAACCACGAGAACTGCAAACACACCAAGCTGAAGGAGTTCGGCTGCGCGCTCTGCGACTACTCCTCCTTCAGCGGGATCAGCCTGTTCCTCCACAAGAGGAAGGTGCACGGATACGTTCCCGGTGACAAAGCCTGGCTGGAGGACTATAAAGTGAAGGAAAAGGAGAGGAACGCTGCGGAGTTTGTGCAGGATTTTTACGTGAAACCGCCAGTGGACGGCGTGCAGACGCAACAGTCCACAGCAGCGCCGGACGATCGCGGCGCCAACGCAGGAACTGCTGCCGCTTCACGAGCAGTCCGTCCAGTTTCTGATGTTTCTCAGGAAGTTGTTTTAGACAGATCTGTCAGCAGTCCTGAGCAGTACTGCACCCTCGTGTTAACCACACTAACTACAGACGACCAAACCAAACCTTCACAGAACGAAGATAAAAGCTGCTTAAACAGTTACAGGTCTGGTTCTTCTACTCCTGCAGGCTCGTTGGAGGGAGATGAACCTTCGATTAGCCCGAGTCAACCTGCCGGACCCCGAGATGATTCACCGACAATCAGCTCTGCTTTCCCTCCTTCACCGCCTGAGCCCGGTCTGAAAGCTTYGAAGAAACACGACCAGGACCAGGCGGACTGCATGGTGTTAGAGGGCCGGGTTCAGATGCTGGCGGTGCCGTCAGAGRCCGTTTATCGCTGTGACAAATGCTCCTACGTGACGTGTCGGGAGGCGGCTCTGAATTCCCACCGCAGAGCTGCGTGTCGGGGCAGGACGGGACACGAGTGCCAGGCGTGTGGCGCTCGCTTCAAACAGAGGCGGGGGCTCGAGTGCCACCTTAAAAAGAAGTGCCCGACGCTTCCACGTGACGCCAGGACGACGGTGGGCACTTCAAAGACTCCCCCAGCCTCAGCTGTAGAGTCAGAACCGGAGGGAGGAGCAAGTTCACATCAACACCCTGACTGTAACATTCAGACGGATACGACTACAGCATCAAGTGTTTCACTGCAGAGGAGTCCTCTTTATGTTAAAGATGATGGCAGCTTTCCATCAGTCCAGGAGCAAACAGTCCAACAACACGTCCGGTCCTGTACAGGAACCTCCAACAAMAGAAGAAACCACGAAAGGCTGGTCTGTTGTCCTAACTGTGCTTTTAAATGCACTCAGAAAAGAGCKTTAGACAATCACAAGAAGAAAGGCTGCATGAAACCAACCGARGTCCAGTGCACGTCGTGCTCATTCATAGCCAAATCCAGCCTTTCTTTGTCTCGCCACGAGCTTCGTTATCACGAGAAGTTATCCTCGGAACGCCCAGACGCTCGGCCTCACCGCTGCAGCTACTGCCCCTTCAGCTGCGCGCGGCGCCACCGCCTGCAGGAGCACGAGTCCCTGCACACGGGGTCGGGTCGTCTCGGCTGCGACGCGTGCAGCAGGACGTTCGGCACGGCCGGCAAACTGCGTCAGCATAAGCTGCGCGTGCACGACAAGCAGCCCGCCCACCCGTGCCCTCTGTGCGACTTCGGGGGCTTCACCGCGGACGACGTTCGCCGGCACCGCCGCAGGTGTCACGCCGGGGCGCTGACGCACGTCTGCACTCGCTGCCATGCTTGCTTTAATTCCGAGGTGGCTTTAAGGAACCACTGCAGACGCGCGCAYCTGCTTCAAACCTGCTTTCCGTGCAAGAAGTGTGACTTCACRTGCAGCAGCGACGTGACGCTGCGGCACCACCAGCTGAGCAGACATCCTGAGGCCAAATGCTCCACCTGCCAGGAAACCTTTGAGAACAAGCGAAGCCTCGAGGTCCATCAGAGAACCCACCTGGCGCATCGTTGCCAGCTCTGCGACTTTGCAACGAAAACGAAGCGGCTGCTGGCGCAGCACCTGCTGAGTCAGCACGAGGGCGGAGCCTCGGAGGACAAACCTCTGAGCTGCAGCACGTGTCCGTTCGTTTGTCGGCATCAGCTGGTGCTGGAGCAGCACCTCCGCTCGCACGGGAGCAAACGCTTCTACAAGTGCACGGACTGCGAGTACGCAACACGAAACAAGCAGAAGATCACCTGGCACGTCCGCATTCACACCGGAGAGAAACCGTACGGCTGCGAGCAGTGCAGCTACACCTGCTCAGACCCGTCCAGGCTGAAGGTAAACTTCACGGCTGTGGTTTGGACGAAGGCGCAGATAGATTAAAGGTTTGAACAGTAACTTCTGAATCGTTTCGATCACAGCTTCACCTGAGAGTTCACCAAGAAGAGAAGAAGTATCTGTGTCCAGAGTGCGGCTACAAATGCAAGTGGGCGACTCAGCTGAAGTACCACATGACCAAACACACAGGTACCCTTTTAAAACTGATAGAAGGGGCGTTTTTACCTTAAACCTTAAAATCCACGCAGGTTTTTCTTTGAGTAACTTTGCTTTTAATCAGTTTAAAAACCTTCTCAAATACTTGAATGTTTGTGAAGATTTTGTTTTCATGTGCGCAACCCACAAATACGTTTTTCTCACAAACGTGGCCATGTCTAAATAGAAATAAAAAGGCTTTTCATCAGTATAAGACAGGGTTATTCTACTAAATCACTCAGGGGGCGGGGTTATTTGAAGCCCACAGCTCAGACAAGGGGCGGAGCCATAGACTAAAATATAAAGATTGCTAGACTGAGCCCCGCCCATAC